AAGATCAATTGGCTGTAAGTATTTGGGTTTATTTCTGGATTCTCTATTCTGTTCCATTGGTCTATGTGCCTATTTTTATACCAGTACCACGCTGTTTTGGTGACTATGGCCTTATAGTATAGTTTGAAATCAGGTAATGTGATACCTCCAGATTTGTACTTTCTGCTTAGTCTTGCCTTGGCTATGTGGGCTGTTTTTTGGTTCCATATAAATTTTAGAATTTTTTTTTTCTAATTCTGTGAAGAATGATGGTGGTGGTATTTTGATGGGGATTGTGTTGAATTTGTAGATTGCTTTTGGCAGTATGGTCATTTTCACAATACTGATTCCACCCATCCATGAGCATGGGATGTGTTTCCATTTGTTTGTGTTGTCTATGATTCCTTTCCTCAGTTTTGTAGTTTTCCTTGTAGAGGTCTTTCGACTCCTTTGTTAGGTATATTCCTAAGTTTTTGTTTTGTTTTGTTTTGTTTGTTTGTTTGTTGCAGCTATTGTAAAAGGGGTTGAGTTCTTGTTCTTGATTTGATTCTCTGTGTGGTCACTGTTGGTGTATAGAAGAGCTACTGATTTGTGTACGTTAATCTTGTATCCAGAAACTTTGCTGAATTCTTTTATCAGTTCTAGGAGCTTTCTGGAGGAGTCCTTAGGGTTTTCAAGGTAAACGATCATATCATTAGCAAACAGTGACAGTTTGACTTCCTCTTTGTGGATGTGGATGCACTTTCTTTCTTTCTCTTGTATGATTGCTGTAGCTAGGACTTCCATACTGTATTGAAGAGAAGTGATGAGAGTGGGAATCCTTGTCTTGTTCCAATTCTCAGGGGGAACAGTTTCAACTTTTCCCCGTTGAGTATTATGTTGGCTGTGGGTTTGTCATAGATGGGTTATTTTGCTTGTTGTGTTTTATTTTGTTTTGTTTGAGATGGAGTCTCGCTGTCACCCAGGCTGGAGTGCAGTGGGGCGATCTCAGCTCACTGCAGTCTCCGCCTCCCGGGTTCAAGGGGTTCTCCTGCCTCAGCCTCCCGAGTAGCTGGGATTACAGGCATGCGCCACCACACCCAGCTAATTTTGTATTTTCAGTAGAGACGGGGTTTCACCTTGTTGGTCAGGCTGGTCTCGAACTCCCGACCTCAGGTGATCCACCCACCTCAGCCTCCCAAAGTGCTGAGCCACTGCACCCAGCCTCAATTTGAAACATTTTTTAATTTCCATCTTGATTTCGTTTTTGACCTAATGCTCATTCAGGAGCAGGTTATTTGATTTACATGTATTTGCATTTTTTGTTTGTGGGGTTTTTTTTGGTGCTTTGTTTGTTTTGAAATGGAGTTTTGCTCTTGTCGCCCTTGCTGGAGTGCAATGGCACAATCTCGGCTCACTGCAACCTCCGCCTCCCAGGTTCAAGCAATTCTGCCTCAGTCTCCCAAGTAGCTGGGATTACAGGTGCCTGCCACTACACCCAGCTAATTTATTTGCATGGTTTTGAAGGTTCCTTTTGAAGTTGATTTCCAGTTTTATTCCACTGTGCTCTTAGAGAGTGCTTGATATAATTTCAATTTTGTTAAATTTATTGAGGCTCATTTTACGGCCTGTCATATGATCTGTCTTGGAGAAAGTTCCATGTACTGTTGAATAAAATGCATATTCTGCGGTTGTTGGATGAAATGTTCTATATATATCTATTAAGTCCGTTTGTTCCAGGGTATAGTTTAAATCCATTCTTTGTTGACTTTTCGTTTTGATGACCTGTCTAGTGCTGTCAGTGGAGTATTGAAGTCCCGCACTATTATTGTGCTGCTGTCTATCTCATTTCTTAGGTCTGTTAGTAATTGTTTTATAAATTTGGGAGCTCCAGTGTTAGGTTCATATATGTTTAGGATTGTGATATTTTCCTGTGACAAGGCCTTATTACCATTATATATCTAATGTCTCTTTTAACTGCTGTTGCTTTAAAGTTTGTTTTGTCTGATATAAGAATAGCTACCCCTGCTTGTTTTTGGTGTCTATTTGCATGAAATGCCTTTTTCCACCCCTTTAAGTTTATGTGAGTCCTTATGTGTTAGGTGAGTCTTCTGAGGGCAGCAGATGGTTGGTGAGTTTTTATCCATTCTGCAATTCTGTATCTTTTAAGTGCAGTGTTTAGGCCATTCACATTCAATGTCAGTATTGAAATGTGAGGTACCATTGCATTCATCGTGCTCTTTGTTGCCTGTGTACTTTAGGGGTTTTTTGGTTTTTTGGTTTTGCTTTTTAACTTGTATTTTTGTTTTATAGGTCCTGTGTGATTTATGCTTTAAAGAGGTTCTGTTTTGATGTGTTTCCAGGATTTGTTTCAAGATTTAGAGCTCCTTTTAGCAGTTCTTGTAGTGGTGGCTTGGTCATGGCAAATTCTCTCAGCATTTGTTTGTCTGAAAATGACTTATCTTTTCTTCATAAGTGATACTTACTTTTTCACTGGATACAAAATTCTTGGCTGATAGTTGTTTTGTTTGAGGAGGCTGAACATAGGGCCCCAATCCCTTCTAGCTTGTAGGGTTTCTCCTGAGAAATCTGCTGTTAATCTGATAAGTTTTCCTTTATAGGTTACCTGGTGCTTCTGCCTTACAGGTCTTAAAAATCTTTCCTTCATTTTAACTTTGGATAACCTGATGACAATGTGCCTAGGTGAAGATCTTTTTGCGATGAATTTCCCAGGTGTCCTTTGTGCTTCTTGTATTTGGCTGTCTAGGTCTCTAGTGAGGCCGGGGAAGTTTTCCTCGATTATTCCCCCAAATATGTTTTCCAAGCTTTTAGAATTCTCTTCTTCCTCAGGAACACCAATTATTCTTAGGTTTGGTCGTTTAACGTAATCCCAGACTTCTTAGAGGCTTTGTTCATATTTTCTTACCCTTTTTTCTTTGTCTTTGTTGGATTGGGTTAATTTGAAGACCTTGTCTTCGAGCTCTGGATTTCTTTCTTCTACTTGTTGAATTCTATTGCTGAGACTTTCCAGAGCATTTCGCATTTCTAAAGGTGTGTCCAAAGTTTCCTGAATTTTTTATTGTTTTTTCTTTATCTATTTCCCTGAATGATTTATCCCTTCACTTCTTGTATCATTTTTTGGATTTCCTTACATTGGGCTTCACCTTTCTCTGGTCCTTCCCTGATTAATAGCTAACCTCCTGAATTCTTTTTCAGGTAAGTCAGGGATTTCTTCTTGGTTTGGATCCATTGCTGTGAACTAGTGCATTTTTTGGGGAGTGTTGAAGAGTCTTGTTTTGTCATATTACGGGTGTTGGTTTCTGGATCCTTCTCATTTGGGTAAGCTCTGTCAAGAGGGAAGGTCTAGGGCTGAAGGCTGTTCCGATTCTTTTGTCCCATGGGGTGTTCTCTTCGTGTAGTACTCTGTCCCTTTTCCTATGGATGTGGCTTCCTATGAGCCAACTTACTTGCAGTGATTGTTGTCTCTCTTCTGGGTCTAGCCACCCAGCGAGTCTTCCCAGTTCTGGGCTGGTACTGGAGGTTATCTGCAGAGTCCGGTGATGTGAACCGTCTATGGGTCTCTCATCCATGGATACCAGTGCCTGTTCGGTGGAGGTGGCCGAGGGTACAATGGACTCCATGAAGGTCCTTAGCTTTGGTGGTTTAATGGTCTGTTTTTTTTCTGGTTGGCCTCCTGCCAGGAGGTGGTGCTTTTCAGAAAGCATCAGCTGTGTTAGGGGAGGAACCAGCAGTGGGCGGAGCCCTAGAACTCCCAAGATTATTTGCCCTTTGTCTTCCTGCCAGGGTGGATAGGGAAGGACAATCAGGTGGGGGTGGAGCTAGGCGTGTCTGAGCTCAGACTCTCCTAGGGCAGGTCTTGCTGAGGCTGCTGTAGGGAATGGGGGTGAGATTCCCAGGTCACTGGAGTTCTGTACCTAGTAGAGTTGTGGCTGCCTCTGCTGAGTCATGCAGGTTGTCAGGGGGAAGTGGAGGAAAGCCAGCAGTCACAGGCCTTACCCAGCTCCCACACAAACCGAAGGGCCGGTCTTACTCCCACCGTGTCCCCCAACAACTGCCCTGAGTCTGTTTCCAGGCAGAGGGTGAGACTGGCCTGAAAATTTGCCCGAGGCTGTTCGCCTCCCAGCTGCAAAAGAAAAGGGCTGCAGTTCTTGCCCCACCTGTGAAGTCTGCATGCCGGATTCGTGCCCTTCCCTGAGTTCTGGCCAGGAGCCTTCTTGCCCTGTTTAAATTATTAGAGTTCGACTAGAAATTTTGAATTCCTTCTCCCTGTGGAGTTTTACCCCCTGCTCCTCTGGCCAACCTCCCTCTGGATCCCTGTGGTGTCAGGCAGGAATGGGCTGCCTGGGGACCCAGCAAGCTCCCACTGCCCTTCTGCTGCTTCCTCTTCCCCTGTATTTCGCTCGCCTGAGTCTGACTTAGCTCCAGGTAAAGTCAGAAATTTCTTCTGCAAACGGACCTTCAGCCTCTCCAGTGCGGGGGTGTGTTTTGGAGAGGAGGGTCTCCCTTTCCCACTTCCACAGTTGGGGCACTCACAGTATTTGGGGGTCTCCCAGGCCCTGCAGGAGCAATCTGCTTCCTTCACAGGGTCTGTGAGCCCTCTCAGGATTGCTGGCTTGTTCTTGCAGTTGATCTGGAGCTAAAATTCACAGTGTAAGCCTCTGCATGCTGCTCTGTCTGAAGCTGCAATCTAGTCCTGCCTCCTGTTTGCCATGATCCCAGGAGCTCCCCTGCAAATAAATTATGATCGCAAGGTCCCAACATAGGCTGTTTGCAAGCTGAGGAGCAAGGAGAGCCAGTCCAAGTCCCAAAACTGAAGAACGTGGAGTCCGATGTTCGAGGGCAGGGAGCATCCAGCATGGGAGAAAGATGTAGGTGGGGAGTCTAGGCCCATCTCATCTGTCTTTTAATATCTTTTCTAACTAACCTGTAAGCTCCATGAAGACAGTCTAGCTCTTTTTCATCTCATGTCCCTCACTATACCTAACAAGGACCTTATTAAAAGTGAGTTGACTGGCTGGGTGCAGCGGCTCACGCCTGTAATCCCAGCATTTTGGGAGGCTGAGGCAGGTGGATTACTTGACCTTAGGGAGTTCAAGACCAGCCTGGGCAACATGGCGAAACCCCATCTCTACAAAAAATAATTACCCAGCTGTGGTGGGGTGTGCCTGTAGTCTCACGTACTGTGGAGCCTGAGATGAGAGAATCACCTGACCCTGGGGAGGTCAAGGCTGCAGAAAGCTGTGATCATGCCACTGCA